AATCATCCCCAGAGTTAGGGACCATTATGTTAACTTGAGGAAGCTCAAGTTCAGAAATTGTATGTAACTTGTATAAAGCAAACTGTCTCATATGATTCAAACTATTAATTTATAATTTGAATATAGTATAATGACATTTTACATCCAGAAAAATAGAAATAAAAACAGAGGGGAAGTGAACACAGGCCCCACCCTTAACCAAGAAGCAATTTGCAATTGATACCTGCTGGCAAAGGGAAAGCCAGTTTTCTACAAGAAAGTATTACTGGGTACATGAGCCACACCCCAGGGCAGGGCAGGCCCCATGCCCAGGAGTAGTTGGTCAACACAAAACTGACTCAATGGATTTTGTGTACCTTTTATTTTGTTTCATTTTCTTGGTTTTTCCTCTTACTGGATTTTTTTTTTTGAGAGAGAGAGAGAGAGACTATAAAGTCTAGTGGGTAGAGAGGTGAGAAAAATTTGGGAAAGAGTTGAGGGAAGAGAAGCAATACGGTCAAAATATACTGTATGAAAAAATTTAAATAAAAGAATTCTTTTACAGAAGGAGATGTTTTGTTTTATACAGTGTTTAAATTGTTTTTATTTTAAGTGTGTGTGTGTGTGTGTGTGTGTATGTGTGTGTGTGTGTGTGTGTGTGTGCAGTCAGAGAACAATCACTTCTGGCAATTGTTTCTCTCATTCAGCCATGCAGATTACAAGTATCATGCAGGCTATCAGGCTTGGTGGCAAATGCTTTTGCCCACTGAGCCATCCCTCTGGCCCTAAGTGGCAATTTTAAAAGGGTATATTTCAACAAGCTTTTTTTTTTTTTTTTGCTTTTCAAGTCAAATTTCTCTGTGTATCCCTAACTGTCCTGAAACTCACTTTGTAGACCAGGCTGGCCTCAAACTCAGAGATCTGCCTGCCCCTGCTTCCCAAGTACTGGGATTACAGGTGTGTACAAACACCACCTGGCTGAACAAGTTTATTTTTAAGCAACTCTTTCAAGTGGTCAGTAAGCCAGATTTTAAAAAAAATCAAGTAATCAAAATAAAATAGGAATGTGAAAATATGGTGATACTGTAAGAGAAGAAAAGAAAAATAAGTCTCAAAAAGTTGAACTAGAAAAAGAAAATCCAAAGGGATTACAAAAAATTATTAGAAATTATAAGAGTTTAAAAGTAATTGGCTATAAAAATCTATTTATGAAAACTAACTACATATGTACATTGACCAAAAATTTAGAAAGCCTAATTAAAAGAAAGTCAACATTGAACACTTCTACACACACACACACACACACACACACACACACACACACACACACACGCTGTAAGGTACTTAAGAACAAATTAACTAGTATCCTGTATAGTAGTGTACACCTGTTAATACTAGGGGCAATAATACTTGGGCTCAGGGGACAGAGATAGGATGATCAAGATTTTGGGGCCATCCTCAACTCTATAATTTGTTTAAGGTCAATATGAGCTATATAACATTGTATCTCAAAAACAAAGTTAATGAAGTAGTTTGAAACAAAATCTTGTTTATCATCATATAAGTATGGAGAAAAGTACTTGTACAAGATACCAAAAGCATAAAACATAAAAGAAAAGGTTGGAAAATTAGATCACATAGGAAGTCCTTTGTCTCAAAAGATGAAATAAAAAGTGAAAAAAGGAAGGTTTTACAGAAACCTAATTCTGATAAATCTGGAAAACCTGTAACTTGTTTCTCCAAAATAGAAAAATGTTTTAAATCACAAACTAGCCATGAACAAGCCTATACACTAAATCCAGAGCAAAAATGAATAAAGTAAGGAAACACATGAATCTAACAAGTTTGATCTCATTACTTCAATGGCACACATAAATCTTTTATGCCAGATGGAGGCCAATAATATCAACATGATTTTAAAAATCAGTACGCAAATTCTCTGACACAGTCAATATCTCAATCAAATCATGTGATTATTAGTGAAACATTAAACAGTCAAGATGGTAAGAAGCCCAAGTCATAATAATCTCATTAACATTAACACGCTCAGGACCACTGGACCTACACTAAACCTTGATGGCACCAGCACAAGGGATCCGGGAAGAGGCAAGTGCCACCTCTTCCTTAGGCCTATAATCTAGTTACCATCTTGTACAAACAAGTCATACTTCCATCTCAATCTCAAAGCAATCTGCTTTTCTCCATCTTCTTATTTGCAGCTACTAATGGCTATTCCTAGAACTTCTGGAACCTTTTTTAGGGACATCTTGCATTCATTTAATACAATCTCAATTTTCACTATATTGCAGCTATACTAATTTAAATATATACTGAATATATTTAATTTGTGCATATGTGCTTGTGTGTAAGGTAAAGAACAATCTCTGGTGTCAGTTCTGGCCTTGCACTGTTTTGCAAGGTCTCTCTTGTTCACTGCTACACTGAATTCTACTGACTAGAAAGCCCAGAATCTTCTGGAGGACTCATCTGTCTCTGCATCCCATTTTGCTGTAGGAATGCTGGAATCATGGACATGTACTATGGTGTCTAGCTTTTGATATGGGTTCTGGGGACTGAACTCAGATTCTTAGGCTCGTTTTTAACCACTGAGCCATGCAATCTGAGTTCCACCATTCAGTGAAACAGAGACTGGCAACCCTTTTTGCAGGGCCAGGTAGTACACAGCTTAGACTCTGCAAGCCATATCGACTCTGTTGTTATTATTCAACTCTGCATTTGTAATATAAAATAGTAAACAGACAAACAAACGAACAGACAGCTGTCAGGCCAGGTACAGTCTGGGAGTCAGTTTACTGACCCTTACAGTAAAAGAGAGTGTATACAGTTTGTACATGTATGTGTAACCCTTTGTGTGGAGAAGAGGTCAGCATCTGTTGGGTGTCTTCCTCTATTCCTCTCTACCTTATTTTCTGAGACAGGGTCTCTCACTGAATCTGGAGCTCACTGAGTATCCAGACTGGCTGGACAGCAGGTTCCAGAGATCCGCCTGTCTTCACTAAGGTCACAGATGCACGCCACACCTGACTTTTACACGTGCTGGGGCCCTGAACTCAGGCTCTCATATTTGCACACAGTGGTCATTCTACCTACTGAGCCAACTCCCCAGATCCCATAACAAAATATCTTCAAATTAGAAGGAGGGAGGGGAAGAGGGAGGGAGGGAGGGAGGGAGAGGGGGAGAGGGAGACAGAGAGAGGGGAGAGAGAGGAAGGGTGGGACGAATGAAAAAAGTCCATTGCAAAGTCTGGGGAATCAGGTGATTCAGATTTTGAAGGAATTACACACAGAGCTGGAAAGCACTCACTCTTGAAAACCAATTCCAAAGGGAATTCTACACCTGGTGAGGTTTTCTACAGTGAGGGTTTTTGACACACAGTTACTTAATCCTTTACCTCTGGGTGCTAACCAACAAAACAGTGGAGGGAATATGGAGGAAAACCAAATATCCATGAAAACTCCCAGCTCCTGCACAGAAACATCCCAGGGAAGTTCCCAGCCATGCATCAGACAGAGTCCACACTGGAACTGGGGGAGGAAGGGCTTCGGGATAGAACTTCCAAAATAAAGAATGGGACACACATATCTAAACACATGAAAATATCATCGACAGCAATATAAGACATGTGGAACATTTTAACACAACTCAAAAATACACTGAGAGAAAGCTAGGTAATTAAAAATAAGGTTGTTATTAACTTCAAAAAATAAATAAAGGGATGGACTGTATTCCACTATATTTGACTTGGCAGAAAATAATGCCCTTATAATCAAAACAATGAGGTACTGAGTGCTAACTGAACCAAGGGACTGTCTATGTGCAATTATAAAGGAGAAGGGAGACAGGAGAGCGAAGTGGGAGGCTAGAGCTCCACCCACATGGCAGGGTGAAGAGATGGTGTCTAAACCACACAACTACATGGGCTAGTCAGTAATAACAAGGTACCATGGAAAGGAGCCAAAGCCCTCACATTGGATTCTTCCAAATAGGTCTTAAAGATAGAGAAGTGTGGGGGTTCTGCCTCTACTGTATTGTTCTTTCTTTAAAATTAATGATTGTATCTTTTCAAGATATACATTTTCTTACTTATTTAGTGTGGGTGTGCCTGAGTGCCACGGCACACATGTAGAGGTCAGAGAACAACCACCTGGAGTCAGCTCCCTCCCTCCACCGTGTGGGTCCTAGGGATGGAACCTGGGTGTCAGGCTGGGTGACCAGTGCCTCTACCTGACGACCATCTCACAGGCCCTGGGTATAATACTGTTTTTAAAAGCTAGTTTAAAATAATTAGAACTTATTTTTTTAAAGTAAATACCTAAATATGGATAATACATTTCATAGGTAGAATTTTATAACTCTCAAATTATAGATGTTGGTGTCTTACAAGTACAGCTACATAACATACATGAAGAACACACACAACAATTAAGAAATATTTGCACAAGGCATATGTGAAAAACTTTTACCCTTCAAAGCAATTTTTTTTAAAAAGGTTAAAACTACAAGTAGCATTATGTCAACCAACCAATTAATTAATACAACTTGTGAAATACTGTAAATTTTGTAAGGTTTTTGGACAATGTATTAATTGTGAAAATATAAGTTAATCTATTATTCCTGAAGGAAACTAGACAACATGAAATGTGACTCAGCAGTTCCCGGTAAGACAGTAACAAATATACACAAGAGGTCAGCTAGGAATTAGTAAACTGAGCACCCCCTCTTCAAAGCCTACAAATCCTAAAGATCTCAAACCTGCCACTTTCTAGCCGGTGGAATGCCACAGCTGACCTCATGAGATGGAGCCCAAACATGGGTGCACTAAAAATCCTGCCATTGCCTCCGGAGTGTGTGAAACGGGAATAGACTCTGTTTACACTTGTCTCATCTCATACATCTTGAAATGAGCATTTTAGATAAAGCTTATATCATCCTCAATTATTTTAGCAAAATTTTCTCAAGACTGTCTTTTTCTACTGATTTGCCACACACGCAGCCTTACCTGAACAGTGCGCCCTGCATTGATGTGCTCTTCATGCAACTTGTCCCAAATTCTGCACCGTTGATACTATTAAAAGGAAAAATGGGGAAAGTGCTGAGTTTCCCATCATGACACCATGTCCAGTTACCACAAAACCCTTGACTGCTCTACTCAAACATAACAGGCAGGGGAAGCAGTGATTTTTGTAATGGTGATTAACTTTCTGAAGGTTTTCAATATTACATTTTAAAAATTTAGAAATGATGGTAAACAATAACACAAAATAGTATCAGACCAAATTACTTTTTTTTTTTTTTAATCAAAAGAAAGGTTTGTCTTTGTCTATCTACAAACTCTCTGGGGAAAGGAAACCTAGTGAATGAGGATAGAAAAGAAGCTGGAAGATGAACAGCATTCCTTAAACATCCTTACTACATACGTAGAATTTTAAGTGCTTGTTAATAGTGATGTTAAATGTTAAAAACTAAGATGAAAAATTTTTAAAAAGCAATAAATCCCAAAAGCAGGCAGAAAGAAAAAGATGCTTGCGGTGCAGAGGAAGGAAGACAAGAGTGACAGAAGTCTCTGATAAACCAGCCAGAACACACTGGAACAACGTGCAGGTCACAGAGAGGAGACACACTCAACTACAACTCCCACCAGGGAAGTGAAGGAGAAGCATCTGCACACATACACAGCAGCTGACGTCTGTCACCAGTCACAGACACTGTGAGAAATGCTGATGGGACCGGACAGAACTCCGACTCTCCACAAAGGAATCAAGTGTATAGACAAATGGTAAACACACAGATAAATACCAACTTTTTCATTATTTCTAAGCTCTTGGGCTGGCAAGATGGTTCAGCAGTTGGGTGCCAAGCCTAACTACCTGAGTTCCATCTCCAGGACCAACTCCCACAAGTTGTCCTCTGATCTCCACATGCCAACACAGCACATGTGCCTGCAAAAACACACACACACACACACACACACACACACACACACACACACACACACACACACAAGTATGGATATTCTGAACTATAAGGCAGCTGCTAAAAAGTAATCCATACAGATTAATTACATCATACTTAGTGGAGAAGGACCCTTCTCTAAGACTGGAAAGAAGGTGAAGATCTAATCTTACTAGTCCTAGTCACTAGCACACTAAAAACTCTAGTCAGCACTCTAGGGTAAAACCAAAGAGAAAGGAAGGAATGAAGGGAGGAAAGGAGGCAGGGAGAGAGCTACAGAGGAGGAGGGAGATGGGGACAGGTGGAGAAAGATCAGAAAGGAAGAAAACTGTCTTCATAGCTGCCATGACTGACTACACAGAAAATACTACATCATCTGTAGAAAAGCTACACAGCATTAGCAGATGGACCAGTGGTTAAGGGCCATAAAGTGAGGATTACTCACATAATGAAGATAACATCTACTCCAGAGTACAGATAAGGGTAACTGCCTCACCTTGACTACCAAATATTAAAAATACAAAGACAGGAACAAACATGAAGGACAACAGGAATGTTCTAAATCTAATATACTAGAAATTATTGATGGGCAGTGCCTATGCCGAAGGCCTGGGTAGGCTAACTCACTAATTACATACTCCACTTTTGAGCAGCTACCTTGTGCATAGGATGTTTTTCATATATATATGTTTGTGTGCATGTATGTTGTACATATGTGCTTACCTTGTATGAGTGCACATGTCAGGAGGTGTGAATGTATGTGCACAGAGTGTGTAGAGGTCAGATATTAACATCAGTTATTGTTGTGGTTTGTGTGTCTACCTCAGTTATTCTCTACTTTACTTACTAAGTCAGGGTCTCTAGCTGAACCTGGAGCTTGCTGACTTAACTAGTCTAACTAGCCAGCTTGCCATGGTTTGCTGGCTAGTTTTTATGTCAGCATGACACAAGCTGGAGTCATCTGACAGAAGGGATCTCAAATGAAAAAAAAAAAAAGCCCCCATATGACCATAAGGTCAGACTGCAGGCAACTATAGAACATTTTCATAATTCGTGACTGATGTGGGACAGCTTGCCCATTGCGGGTGGTGCTCCCTTTGGGCTGGTGGTCCTGGGCATTTTAAGAAAGCAGGCAGTCAGCCGGAAAGCAGCATTCTTCCATGGCCTCTGCTTGAGTTCCTGCCTGCTTGAGTTCCTGCCCCAACCTCCTCAGTGATGGACTGTGACCTAGAAGTGTAAGGTAAAGTAAGCCCTTTCCTCCCATTTGCTTTTGGTCATGGTCTTTATACAGCAATAGAAACCCTAACTAAACTCCTGGAAATCCCATCTCTGCCTCCTCAAGTTCTAAGATTACAAGCAGACTACCACACCTGCTTAACTTTTATGTGGCTACTGGGGACCCAAACTCTGGTCTTCGTGCTTGTTTGACAAACACTTTATTTACTGGGCTATCGCTCCAGTCCCATCACGTAATATCTCTCTCCTTACTATGATCTTATGCAATTATAATTTCACTATCATAAATGTCTGGAAACGCAGACATTTGCAGCTTTGTTCTAAACAATAAAACATGTGTGTTAAGTCTGTAAAGGTTAAAGTCTCCTCCACAGTGCTGTGTTAAGATGGGGCATTTCTATCTGAGGTGAAGGCATCAGTCAGAGCACTTGGAAGTACCTGAGCTGGGGTCTGAACAAAACACCAAGCTTGAATGGCAGCAGATGGTGAGGTGTATGTCATTAACAGATGTAAGACAGAAAGCAGAACTGTTCATTGCCTTTGTTCCCCTTCTTTACGGAGGAATTCACCTTCAAAGTAGAAAAGCACTGACAAGATCATTAGGAGGAAATTAAGTTGGCTATGAATGAGCATGCCTGCAATCTCAGCTAACCAGGTAGCTGAGGCAGGAGGATTACCTGAGCCAAAAGTTCAGGACCAGTTTGGGTAACATATGGAGACACCATCTCAACAACAAAAGCAACAGATTTAGGGATACAGCCCAGAGGTGCAGAGCTTGCCTAGCATTTAAGAGGCTCTATGTCCTGTCATCGGCAAATCCAACCACTTTCCCCTAAAAAAAGAAAAGAAAGGAAACCAAGAAAGAGTGAACCTACTCACTTCAAATGAGTTCAAATCAACAGGCACAAGAAAATGATATCTGAGTGAACTAAGAAACCTTGCAAACACTTCTGTTTATTTATGAAGAACTGGAAAAATTCCTAATATTTGCAAATATTGACCTAATTTTCACAAGGAATATATATATCTAAAAGACTTGGGCTATAAATATTAATGTAAATCTTGGGATTAGTTGAGAGATGGCATGTGAGAATTTAAGGAGCTGGAGGCCCTGTCCCTTCCTGTCCAGCATTCTCACTGATGACTTCAACTGTCAATTTCCCAGGTGACATAAACAAAGAAGAGTTAACATAGCTGGAAGATCACAGCTGCACTTGGTGAGAACTACAGTAATGCACATATGAGGCTCGGCACTGGAGCTGACAAGAGAAACCCAAACAGCTGGCTCCGCAGCCACCAGGTCACAGGAATTACAGAGTGAGCAACAAGAAGTGGTATCTGGAGAGGACAAGTGTTAGGCTCTGCATTCATTCATTCCATGCATCTGTTAGAAGCACACTCTCAAGTACATATTAAGTTAGACACATGTACTAACATAGCAACCATAACAAGCATGCAGCTCAACTGCTCGAAATGTCTCTCCCTCTACGAAGTGACACAAAGTAAAGTGTGATGTGCAGGCCTGTAATCTCAGCACTAGGAAGCTAGGAAAGGAAGGTCATGTGTCAAGGCCAGCTGGGACTACATAGTGAGACCTTGTCTCAAAGAGCAAAACAAGGGCTGGTGAGATGGTTGAGCAGGTAAAGGTGCTTGCCCCTAAGCCCAAGACCTGAGTTTAATCCCTAGGAGCCACACCACAGAAGGAAGAGAAATGATTCTGAAGGCTGTCCTCTGACCTCCACATCCCCCTGTGCCATGTATGTCCACACACAGACACATAAATAAATTAATAACTCTGAAAAAAAAACCTAAAAACAAAACAAACAACAATACTTGACCTGTAAAGCTACTGCACGACTGAGTGCTATAACATACAAAAACTTGTAACATAACTCTCAACAAAGAAAAGCAGCAGCCTTTACTACTACTGTCATTATTTGTCCACTTATCAAAGAGGCTATTGAAGAGATTACTGTCTCGATGGCATTATCTCTTCTTAAAGTGAGTTATAAGAAAAATAAAGAGAGAATTCTCAACATAAGAATCTCAAATGGCCAAAAGACATTTAAGGAATTGCTCAACATGCTTAGTCATCAGGGAAATGCAAATCAATACAATTCTGAGATACCATCTTATACCTGTCAGAATGGCTAAGATTAAAAACACTGAGGACAGCTTATGTTGGAAAGGAAGTGGAGTTAGGGGAGCACTCCTCCACTGCTGGTAGGAGTGCAAACTTGTACAGCCACTCTGGAAATCAGACTTCTCAGAAAATTAGGAATCAATCTACCTCAAGACACAATGATACCACTCTTGGGCATATAACCAAGGCATGTTCAATCATACCATAAGAACACTTGCTCAACTATGTTCATAGCAGCATTATTCATAATAGCTATAACCTGGAAACAACCTAGATGCCCCTCAACTAAAGAATGGATAAAGAATATATGGTACATTTACACAAAGGAGTATTGGTCAGCTGTAAAAAACAATGACATCATGAAATTTGCAGGCAAATGGATAGAACTAGAAAATACAATCCTAAGTGAGGTAACCCAGACTCAGACAGACAAACATAGTATGTACTCATTCATAAGTGGATACTAGATGTAAAGCAAAGAATAACCAGACTACAACCCACAGCTCCAGAGAACCTAGCTAACAAGGAGGACCCTAAGAAGGACACATGCATTGCCTTGGGAAAAGGAAACAGATGAGATCTCCATGAGTAAACTGGGGGCAAGCGGGGGCAATAGAGGGGAGAGGATGGGAGAAGATGGGATGGTCAAGCTGGGGGAGGGACAGAGTAGGAGAGCAATGAAAGAGATATCTTAACAGAGGGAGACATTATGGGGTTAGGGAGAAACCTGGTAC